CCCCCCCCCCCCCTCCCCCGGTGACCCGGGGACCAGCCTAGGAGAAAAGGGAATACTCGGAATGCTCAGAGTAATCATAATGTAATCAGGAGCATTACTTGTCGCGGAAAGATTACATCATTAAGGTAGAGCGAACTTTGCGCTACACAGTCCTTCCATAGCGGCAGTTTAGCGAATTATTGTTCCATTAAATGTGCCCTAAGAGCCACCATCTCTCTCCCAGATGCCACATTTTTTACCAATTGTTGAGTGATTGAATCTGTGTGCCAATAGCATTGATTGATTGATTGCTCCTTGTTTATGGGAGGATTTTCTGTTAGAGGTCACAGACACTTGCTACGAAATCATTCATCAGAAAGCCATCAGCCTCTTTTTTTTTCCATCAAAAACATTTAGTGCCGTCTTACTCTTAGCCCTGGTCACCGAATTGGGGCTGGAAAAGACCTAACCACACTCAATGCCAATTTGCACCCTGAGACTTTGATCTTGAGGATTCTGACTTCCAGCCAATTCTTTGAGCAGGCCACCATATTCCCTGTCCAGCAAACCCTACCCAAGATCCGAACTCTCATATTCCAACACTGAAGTAACTAAAAGAACACCAATCAAAGAACAACCACTACCCTTCATCCGAATAGAACGCCCGGTCATTATCACTGTATCTAGACCGGAAGTTACACCAAACACAGCTACAATGACTGGGCGTTCGTTTTCTTTTTCCCCATAAAACAGGCCCTTATGGGCCTGGCTCCATTTCCATTCTGGGGAGCATCAGTACGGTTCCTATTCCACTGGCCAGTCAGAATAAAATATTACATCAGGAAACACACTCCCGCTTCCTTCCGTCCGGCGGAAGGAACCCTGATGAGCATTGATTACTCCAGCATCGTGGAGGATTGACTGTCAGCTTGCCTGACTTCCACCTTTCCTCTCAGGTCCACTGCATGAACCTGTCATATAAATGATAAAGAGCAAGAAAGGTAAAAGAAGCTACGGAAGATGCAATCTCGGAATTTGCCCTTCAATATTATGTGGCCTGTGATGGATCTTGTCCTTCTGCTGGCTGGGATCTCTGCTTTCTCCACCCTGTTTCTGAGTTGTGCCAGTCTTTCCACCGTATGTGAAAGTCATTTATCTCTGCTGCTTTGCCCCCTGCAAGCCACACCTTAGTGAATTTTGCCTTGATTCTTCTTTGTTGCTCTTCGACATCTGGCATGGATTGTCTCGTCTTATGCCACTTACAAAGAATCTCTGCCTGAATCAAGGTCCTTGTCTCCGCCCATACCTTCTCCCTTGGAGTTAGATAGTCCCTCAATGGTTCTGCAGCACATTTGCTTCCAGATGGACCACAACATTACCTTTCTGATCATTCCAAACCACGTTTTCTCTGTCTTGTGGAATTGAGCTGGGATGTTAGTCCATAGGAGTTGGATGGGGTGTTCAGGGAGGGGAGTCGAGAAGAGGGAATCCCAGAGATCCGAGGCCCTCGCCCAATATTCCGTCGCCTCTCTACAGCGTATCAGGCAATGTAGCGTATATTCTGGTCCATTTTCTGAACATACCACGCATAAATCTGAACTGTTAGGGTCATTCTTACTTCTTCTGACATGCAGCCACTGGTTAACCGGTAAAGCCACGTATGGGATGAGCCATTGGAGGCTTCTGATTTTGACCGGACGGATTGATGTGAATTTTTTCCATGGTAATCTGACTAGCGTTTTCACCTATTAACTTCTGCAATCTGTTCTTGATTGTTGGGTTAGGATCCTTTGTTTTGAGCAGTAAGTTGTATCCCAGTTTGACTGTGTATTCCTGGATTGGTACATTCGTTGTGAGACTTCTGCTTCTGTCACATTTTTCATAGAATCAGCAGAAGTTCACCATCATCATCATCATCATCATCATCATCATCATCATCATATGAGGGATGCTGAGCCCGGTTCTCAGCATGTTCGTTTTGGTCACTCTGGGTAGACTATGAGCCTAGTATGAGGACCCCGACCTCAATCTTCTTATTGGTAATATCAGCCTTGGGCACTGGGCCCACTTGTTTTAAAAAAAGAAAAAGAAAAGAAAAAAGAAGAAGAAGCTTCTGTCTGGCGTCCAAGCCCACCCTGCTGGATCAAATTCCAAGTCTTGAATCACTGTATCTATTCTGAAGATTGTTTTTGGCCATGATCCCAACACTCTTACTTTTCGAGTACAAAAGGGTTAAGGACTGTTTTTTCCACCTCCTTATTCAGGATAGATGGGAGGCCTTGCGTGGAGGGGGTGATTGGGAATGAGGTAAACACCACCAGGGTATCCTACCCTTGTTGTTTATGGGAGAATTGATAGGCCCTTGAGGGGGTTAAATCCTGCACCCTCACTCCCCATTCACCCGATTTCCAGGTTGAGGCTTTGCTCAGCAACTCCTTCCAGCCTTCAGGGCTGCAGTTAATGGATTGTAGATTCT